GGATCACGCTCGGCAGCTGCTGTGAAATTTCATTGTATTATCGTGCCGTCTCGCCCGCCACCCTTGGAAGGAAGACAGAAGACAGAGAGGATCGGAGGGAAGGCCAAAGAAGAAGCTAAGAGAGAAGGACGCACATCCGGGAGCGCGGATAAGCAGGTTGTATTATTTCATATCATTGCTTGTAACCGCGGTCGCCTACAAAAGGAACCATACTTTCACTATGCACCCCTTGCAGAGTACCGGAGAAGGCCAGAATTCCCGGCCACCCTTGAGGGGCCGGACGGACGTCCGTCGGGAACATAGGGCCCCGACGGGGAGCGAGAAGGAAATCCATCCCGATCTCCTCCGCCAGGCCAGGAAGTGCAGGGGCCGTGAGCAGAGACGCCACCCTTGACAGGGACCTTCATTGCGCGCTCGTGCGAGTCAGGATTCAAGGCAACGCGGGCCTGCACGGCACGCGCGGATATCGTGACACGCGAAAGCCAATCAGCGTGACTACCTCCCCCCGCAGGAGGGGGGGAACGCTAAGCAGCCTGCAAGAATCCGCCGGGAGCTCCCGGGCCTCACTTTCTTTCTGTGGACGAGCGAGCCGAGTCTTGTAAGGGGAGCACGAAATCGCTGTCGCCGAGGCCGAGTACGAGGACGCAAAGGACCATCGAGAGACTGGCGAGAGAAGGCCGAGAGGACAAAGGAGACGACGAGGGTGAGACGAGCGTCGTCGCTTGTAAAGCTGCCGATCGGGGTACGTTGTCGGGTGAATCGTACGTAAGCCAGCTCACATCGTAACAAGAGATCGGCGTAATGGCCGCCGTGTAGAGCCGCGGAACCGCGAGCCACGTGCCATCCCCCCGGGCCGTGGAAATCGTTAGCTGTCGCGTTTCGAGGATCAGAAGGGGATTCATATTCATTATAATGGCCGCCGTGTAGAGCCGCGGAACCGCGAGCCACGTGCCATTCTCCCGCGCCGTGGAAATCGTTAGCTGTCGCGTTTCGAGGATCAGATTAAGGGGATTCATATTCATTACCGAGTTGAAATAAATTAGAGTCGTTCGGAGAGTATTGGGGGCCGAGTCGCGCTCGTTCCTCTCGCCACAGGAGAGTCACTTCCAATTTCCGAGTAGAGCAGAGTCGCGTAGAAACGCGTAGAGTAGTCACGTTGTCGAGTCTCGCCG